GATAACATGATAAGAGCACACCAGGGAAATTAGACCTTTGTTGCTCATTCAAAACTAGGTTGGATACAAAATTGGTGTCACCAAGAAACTGTAGAGCAGGGGTAGCCAGACTCCGGCCCTCCAGCTGTGGTGGAACTTCAAATCCCATGAGGCACTGCAAGATTCTCACAGCCACAGACATGACTCCCAGAGAGAGATGCATCATGGGATTTGTAGTTTCACCCACAGCTGCAGGGCCGGAGTTTGGCTACCCCTTATGTAGAGCATGGCTGGAGGTTTCACTGGAGAAATGATTCATTTTGGATGGGCATCACTTGAAAGATATTTATTTCAACTGTTTTAGGCCCCATGCACACCGGGGAGGTTGCGAATCAGCGCAGTGTCCGTACAGATTTTAAAAGGGCGGTTTTGGGTGTTTTTAATTGCGTTTCAGCGCTGAACGCAATTAAAAACGCACACAATTGCGTGGTTCCATTCAAAGCAGTATGGAAACGGTGCCGATCAATGCGTCAAAAAAGGGTCAGGGAGCAATTTGGGCGGGAGGCGATTCGGATCACGCGGTCGCATGAATGGTCCCCATAGCAATGTATGGGATCATTCACGTCGGCAGATCCGCATGGCCAAATATGCATGGTTGAACCGCCCTCTGGCTGCCAAGCTAGCTAAATCTCAAGAGAAGCCATTTTCCGTCTCGCTTGAATGGCCCAAGTCAACAAACAGATTGTAATTCATACAAATAAATTTAATTTTAGTATACAAATTGTGTATATAAATATTAAAATATACATAAATATGATCAAAAACCCCTCACACCTTCCTTTAATAAGTTAATATTTCAATTTCCTGAGTGATGATCAGTATAAGAGCCAAACCTGCTAATGCCTTTTATGCCTTTGACTAACCGATATTGAAATATATTCAGATCAGCTTTTTCAATCAAAAGAAAGAACGCTTAAAGCAAAGTCTATTCAGGAGCCAACAACAAGGCATTCCATGAAGACATATTATGGAGACATTTGGTCTCCTCCATGAGACGGTTGTGATTGGCGTGGAAACAAATATCTGCTTCCCAGCTCTCGGCGTTGACTGTTGGGTGATAAACAACAGATCGCTAAGCTGAAGCCAATTGAAGTTAATTATGGCAGATACACACACGTAATCCCAGAAACATTAATCACCCGTTTCTTATTCAGGGAAGGCTCTGCAACAGTTGGTAATCTAATCACAGATGTTGTGACACATTGTAAACCAGCGGTTCCGGGTACAGAACTCCACAAAAACAAGCTGGTTCTGATCTGATTCGGTGACTAGAGCAACTGTCACTCCATGTCTTTATGGAGCTGGCTTTGTTCACAGGGGACAGTCACGGTGGAACAGAAAAGGGTCTTCACCCAATTGTTATCACAAGGCTGGAAGAGCACAATTGTCTACAATGTCTTTGAATGCTGGAGCATTAACAGAACCTTTACTGGAGACAACTCAACTCAATCATTTGGACCGAGTCAACATGTTTTTGCCAAAAGAGAAATGAGAATAGACAGCAAAGAAAAAAAAAAAAAGAGTGAAGGAAATAAACCACACTGTTTAGCTCCTAGAATCCACTCCAATGATTATTTGTCTTTTACTTGCTTTTCCTAAGCACCTCGATATAGAGCTGATAACAATGACCTCGGGCTACAGCTTGGGCAGCAGGATTCTAACTCATGCCCACTCAATCCTATATAAAAAGTAGGGCTGGTAATGATTAAAATTTTCGTGTTCAATTCATAATTTTTTTTTTTAAATCGATTAATCGATTAATTTTGATTAATTATAACGCACATACAGATCCAACTACATTGCCCTATACACATACAGCACAGCAATGAAGTAATAAAAATGAACTAGGATCACACTAATCCAGCACGATATTAATCTCACGCGCCCCACTCAATATGGCCGCCGCTTGAGTAGGGCAACTCAGAATAATAACGTGCTGGATTAGTGTGATCCTATTTCATTTTATTACTTCATTGCTGCGCTGTATGTGTATAGGCCAGTGCCTTGGCTGGCGCTCGTGCAGAAAGTTTCTTGGGCAAACTCACCGGCCCGGAGCCACTTGGGGAAGGCGGGAGGAGTCCGGTGATGTCGATGTCCGTGACGTCATCGGATCGCCGACGGGACTCCCGGAAGCCGGCGGAGAGGTGAGTGTTTTCATTAGCGATCAAAATAATTTTAATCGATCAAAAAGTTTAACGATTATTCGAGAAATTAATCTTTAATTTCCACAGCCCTAATAAAAAGGTTTTGGTGGACTTCCACCTTCTTATTTATCTTATATATAGACACTTGTTTCCATTGTAGGCTCCCCATGATCTTCTGCATTTCAGCATTGCTGCTTTTCTGTTCCCTAGACCACCTCAATATGAGATATAACAGATCTGTCTATCAAGGATCATCACAACATTTGTAGGATTCATCAATGATTAAACAGCCAAAGTCGGCAGCAGCTTGTTGTTATATGGCTCCTGTAAATTACATATCGCCCCCATGCTGGGACAGAACAGCGAATGTTGTTTAACTTCTTATCAGCCCAAACTAAGCAGAAAGTGTTTTGCATGAGATGCATTTTTAATGAGACAACCGTTTTAACTCCGACACCTTGATACGAGCGTGAAGAAAATAAGAAGCAAACACCTAATTAACGACTAACTTGCATCGTTCTATCTCTGGCTTATAAGCAGATGTAAACCCACTTGATAAAATCTTTTAAAGCTGAACTACGTTACAAGCAAGTATTGTCCTCATACACGAGTCATGTTTATGGTTCTGGAATGTTGGGGAGCTTTGTGTGTTTCTTCCAGATCTGTGCAGTAATCCAGTGTGATACTTGGAGCTTCCTGTAATGAAGACCGCTTTCACCGGCCCCGCCTCCTGCTCCGTCACCGGCCCCACCTCCTGCTCGTCACCGGCCCCACCTCCTTTTCTGTTGCTGACTCCCGGGCCCCGCCTCCTCCTCCCTTGCCGGGTCCAGCCTCCTCCACTGCCGCTGCTGGCTCTCGTTGACTCATCAGAGGCTGTGGAGAAGAACGCAGCGCTGCACAGATCACTGACAGTGATCTGAACAGCGGCGCGTTCGAAGCCATAGCAACCCAGGCGGCCCGCACGGCATCAGGGGGGTGTCCTGGCCGGTCGCCTGGGTTGCTATGGCGATTGTTTTACGCCACTGCATGAGATTGTAGTCCATCCTGGAAGCGAGCTTGGAGCGGTGACTACTTTACAACACACACGGGGACCATGGGGAATAACAGTAGCCCCCTCCAGAAGGAGGGACAGTGTCAGCACCAAGGATTTGGAGTTTAGTGTCACTTTAAGATGGAAAAGTTATTTCTAGCATACTTTATTTTAATAGAAACCTTTCCCCTATTGTGTCTGTTGCAGATTTTACCCAAAATGAATGCAAAACATCACCCAAAAGCACCAGACACAATCCAATCTGCTGAGAGGCTATTCTAGTCTTCACCTGATAAACATCTCATAGAAATGAATTCACTTATTGCTCCAGTGCGTGTTTGGAGTGCTGTTTGCATGTGATGGGATTTATTAAGTTCTCCTGTAGACCGCGGGGACCGTGCTGACTGCCAAGCCTTCGGAGAGTTATTGAGGAGTTATTTTTGTCAGAAACTGCATGTTCTTGAAATGTGATTAACTGTCAGTCTGAGCACAGCTTGGGCAAATTAACCGTTCTTCCATTGACTGGATGTCAGAAAATCTCGGGATGGAGGCAAAGAGACGAACACTTCTATACAAAGCAGAAACTACCGTCTTGTATTCTATTTCTTGTCTAACTAGCTCCTATGTTCGTTATTTTAAAGCTGAACTCCGGGATCAGCAAATATCGTCCTCATACAAGTGTCCTGTGCATTCTTCCTTGGATCTTGGTGAGCTTTGTGTATTTCTTCCCGATCTGCGCAGAAATCCAGTGCGAAACTTGGAGCTTCCTGTAATAAGGACTGCTCACTGTTGAGAGGTCGAATGTCCAAAACCAAACTTCTACATGATGATAACCTGAAGACCATGAGCTATAGGTCACTATATGTTTTGCTCTCCAAAGGCTGAGGACTCTTGCCCATCTAAAGCACAGGTGGAAGTGGACTTGTAAGGCCCCTATATGGGTCAACCTAATTCTACTGATACACAACAGATTATCCAACCTGGACGTGGCAGGAATTTGCTTCATAATGTAGTGAATGGAACCAAACATGTTTATCTCCACTGAGCATTCTACTCCCCTTTGCAGTCATTTTGTTGTATTTTGAAGAGCTAGGTAGATGGTTGGTGGGAGGGTAGATGGTGCTGGATCACCAAGATAACTTGTGTATCGCTACCCCCATAGTAGCCGCTGGTTGTCCGGTTCATTTCTAGTCTGTCTAGGGTATGATCTTCCGCTGTCCACCCAATAGCACTAACCGCCCTTCTTCTGGTGTCCATAAACTGATGTCCACTCCAATAGACTCCAAGACTGGGAGTTGTAGTTTTTTGTTGATGTCCAATATGACATCGTTAAGGTGCCCATACACTTTACAACTCTCGCAAGACTTTTGTCTTGCGAGGGTTTTAAAGTACTTAAAAAAACGTACGATCTGCCCATCTTGGACTGACCGTACAGTAGAAACGGTGGCACGCCTTCCATACACTGCACGATTCTCGTACGATCGCGGGATTTCCCGCGATTCTCGTACGAGAATCGTGCAGTGTATGGGCATCTTAAGACTACAAGCCACACATCCACCAAAGTGCCTGGAAACATTGGTGCACTGATCCCAGCAAACAGGAGGAATTTAAGCTGCTTTTGGGTTGAAGAAAATGAATTTGGAAAGGGAACTGATAATATTTGACTTCTACCCAACATGGTCATCAGATACCTTTGAAAATTAAGGTTTTTCATCCTCTTGTAGTTCCAGCAAGCACAATAAAAAATAAAAATAAATATAATACGAAACTGATGAAATTTTACTTACTAGGAGAATTGAGGAGCCGTGAATGTTTGCAGTGATAAGCCACCTCCTGCTCGCAGTACTCTGCGTTGTTGATCAGATCCTCCATTTGCTCAGCACTGGCTCCGTAGTTAAATGCAGCGGAGTACGGCTTCCCAGGAATAATTCCACGCACAGTCATTAGATCCGTGATGTTGTGTTGAACGATGGTCCAAATCTTCTCTACTGTTGGAAAAAAATAAACACACTTATATGTTATGTCTATTTTGTATTATTTAATTGGATTTAATTATATATAATTAATGTTGATGCCAACACATAGGAAGTGTTTTTGTTTTGTCTTGTTACTTTTTAGTTTATTTGGTCTACAATCTCATTACAAATTAGTAAACTAAACATGAGATTGTAGTCCATCGCGGGAGTGAGCTTGGAGCGGTGACTACTCTACAACACACACAGGGACCATGGGGAACAAAAGTAGCCCCCCTCCAGAAGGAAGGACAGTGTCAGAGATGATTTGAGGAACCACAGGCGAGTGATAGACAAATAAGATACATTGTTATTAATAGTTAAGGTGCTTACATGTATTTTTAAGATTTAACTCCTTTAATGTCACTTTAACTTCTCGTTTTTGTTCAGGAGACCAGAATTAAGGACTTTTTAAGGAATTAAGGATTATTTACGTGATCCCAGAACAGGATGGCTCTGTGACTGGCGCCCACAACGTCTTTGCCCCCCGTTGCTCCATCAGTCAGAGACCCGCTAAAGCCAGAGACCAGCCATAGCCCTGTATTATACGTGAGGACGCCAAGGGGCAGTCCGCAAGCCGGAGACAAGGGGAGAGAGGTGAGCACTGATTGCCCACTGGTGATGAGGGAGCATGGAGCTGGCTTTCTTGCCAATCAGGAAGCCAGAGGACGGGTAATGACTTGATGCCCTGCTTCCTGATTGACCAGCTTCCTGACCAATCAGGAAGCTGGTCAGGGAGTCATTACACGCCCCCAGCTTCTTGATTGGCCGGGAAGCCAGCTCCATACTCCCTGGTGCCAAGGGATAATGAAGCCAGCTTCCTGGCCAATAAGGAAGCCCGCCTAGCTTCCTGATACCAGAAGTTCCAGTTTCGGGAGCATTTGGGCGAGTAAGAGTACCAAATACTTGATATCTGCACCAATACAAGTATTGGTGCATCCCTAGTTCCTGTCTTTGTCTGAGTTTAGGATCTGATTTATGCTCCCTGGGTGTGCCACTGTCTGTTGAATTATTGGTTGCTGAACTTCTGCTTAGTCCCTCAGCTGATTGTGGATTCCTTGGTACCATTGCTTGCTGTTAGTCGCTGACCCATATTATCATTGGTCTTGTAGATTGTTTGACAATCTCTTACTGAGTTCCTATATTTTTTTTCCAGCTGAGAGATCCCAACCATTCCGCCCACCTGACACCGGCATAACGAGACTACCAGCCAGGAAATTGAGGTGACGGGTGGAACTTGACAGGCCTGACAGCCAACACTTGAAACCCTGGTGAAATGCAATTTATAACTCTTTAACTGCAAAAACACGTTGCCTTGGTTTCTTGGACCTCTATTATATATATTGTTAGACTCTCGTGGCTCTTCTGTTTCCCTATAGCTTTTTGGATATCATTCATGGGGCTATTGAGATCCTTCTGTATTTGAGAGCACAACAAGAGTCACTGCACCCTACAGTATAGACCTTGCATTGTGAAATCAATCCTAGATCGAGAACCTCTCACCATAGTTACATAGTATTTGAGGTTGAATAAAGACACAGGTCTATCAAGTCCAACCTATTACGTGTATGCATTTATGTTTGATCAGATGTGTGCGTGTGTTACATAGTTACATAGTATTTGAGGTTGAATAAAGACACAGGTCTATCAAGTCCAACCTATTACGTGTATGCATTTATGTTTGATCAGATGTGTGCGTGTGTTACATAGTTACATAGTATTTGAGGTTGAATGAAGACACAGGTCTATCAAGTCCAACCTATTAGGATCTCATTCTAGGAGTCCCTGTACCCCTGTATATTACGGTCCCTTAAGAAATCGTCCAAAAGTTTCTTGAACAATTCCACATTATTTGCTGAAATCACCGCCTGTGGCAGTGAGTTCCAGACCCTAACTGATCTTACTGTGAAGAACCCGGACATCTTTTCTTAGTACTGGTGACCAGAACTGGACCGCGTACTCCAGATGAGGTCGAACCAATGATCTATAAAGTGGCAAAATTATAGACTTGTCCCTGCAATACATCCCCTTTTTAATACAGGACAAGACCCTGCTAGCTTTGTTTACAGCAGCCTGGCACTGCAAACTACCTTTCAGTTTGTGGTCTACAATGACCCCCAAATCCTTCTCCATTTCTGACTTCCCCAGCGGCATACCCATAATTGTATAACCCATTTGTTTATTTTTAATTCCAAAGTGCATTACTTTGCATTTATCGACATTAAACCTCATCTGCCACATTAATGCCCACTCCCCTATTTTATCCAGGTCCTCCTGTAATGTTATAGTGTCTAAGTCCGTGTCTATTACCCTCCCTATTTTGGTGTCATCCGCAAACACGGAAATATCGCTGTTAACACCCTCCCCGATGTCATTAATAAATAAGTTGAACAATATGGGACCCAGCACAGAACCCTGAGGCACACCGCTCATTACACTAGCCCAGTCTGAAAAGGTGCCATTTACAGATACCCTCTGGACACGTTCCCGTAGCCAGTTCTCTATCCACGTACACACCACCTCATCTATGCCCATAGCCCTCAGCTTGTGTAGCAAGCGTTTGTGTGGTACCGTATCAAAAGCCTTTGAGAAATCCAGATATACCACATCTATCGGACCCCCCTCCATCCATATCTCTACTTACCCCCTCATAAAAAGTTAGCAAGTTAGTTAGGCAGGAACGGTCTTTCCTGAACCCGTGCTGATTGTCATTAACTATCCCGTTTTCCTGAACAAATTCTACCAGATAATCCTTTATTATGCCCTCTAGCATTTTACAAACTACCGATGTTAGACTGACCGGCCTATAGTTCCCAGGTTGGCACCTTGCCCCCTTTTTGAATATTGGGACTACCGTAGCCCTCCGCCAATCACTGGGGATCCTACCAGTCATTAAGGAGTCCTTAAAAATGAGGATTAATGGTCTAGTTATAACCTGGCTTAATTCCTTAAGTACCTTGGGGTGCAGGTTATCCGGACCCACTGCTTTGTTTGCATTGAGCATTTTAAGTCTTTGTTGTATCCCGGTTTCTGTCAACCACTGGGGTATATTTTGAGTTAAACTGGGAGTTTTATCATGTGTGTCAACCCCGTTTCCCTCCCGAGTGTATACTGAGGAGAAAAAAGCGTTCAGCGCCTCGGCCCTCTCCTTGTCGTTTGTGACTAGCTTCCCGCTTCCATCCTTTATTGGGCCTATCTGCTCCTTTCTCACCTTTTTACTGTTAATATATTGGTAAAAATTTTTGGGGTTCTTTTTACTATCTGCGGCGATTTGCTTTTCGCACTGCGTTTTAGCTGCCCGGATTTCTAGTTTGCATTTTTTGTTACATTTTTTGTAGTTAAGGAACGCCAATGCCGTCCCTTCCGTCTTATATTTTATAAATGCCGCTCTCTTGTCCTTGACGTGTTGTTTTACAGTTTTATTAAGCCATATTGGTTTAGTCTTTGATCTTTTATTTTTGCTCCCTAAAGGTATACACTTTGAAGTAGCAGTATGTACTGTGTTTTTAAAACAATCCCACATCTGGTCTGTGTTTAGGTTTTGAAATAAGTTTTCCCATTTTATTTCCCCCACTAGGTTGCGCAGCTTCTCAAAGTTGGCCCTTCTGAAGTTTAGGGTTCTAGTGCTTCCAGTACACTTCCCTCTTCTGTGTTCAATATTAAAAGTAATCACATTGTGATCACTATTACCCAATGACTCCCCAATTACAATATCCTCGATTAACTCTGCATTATTAGTGACAATTAGATCTAAGATGGCATTTTTTCTGGTAAGAGTCTCCACCATCTGGTCCATGAAATTGTCGCGCAACATGTTTGTGATTTAGCTCTTAAGAGTACTCGTGCCCCTTTATGTTACGGTCTCCCAGGAACTCGTCCAAGAGTTTCTTGAATGATTCCACACTCTTAGCTGAAATCACTTCCTGCCGGACCCTAACCGCTCTTACTGTGAAGAACCCCTTGCGGCCCCGTGTGTAGAAATTTTTTTTCTACCAATTTGTGGTGGTGCCCTCTGGTCTTTGTTTTCGGAGCTAACCATAAATAGTTTGTTAATGATGTTGATGTCGCCGTTGAACAGTTTATACAAGAAAATCATGTCCCCCCTTAATCTCCTAACCTCCAACGAGAACATATTTAATTTTAACAACCTTGTTGCATAGTTCAGGTCTTCGAAACATGTTTCTGAAAAATGGCCACATCTCCCGGCTGTAATAATTTTAGAGGGGCATCAATTAGGGATGCACAGATACTTTTCGAGTACCAGTGCAGATACTTGGCATTTGCATGAGACTTCCCAGGGTTGCACGGTTGCAGCTGGGACCGGGCTCTGGCGCTCCACCACTGTCCTGAAATCATTAGTCTGTATTGTTTTAGAAAAACTGTCACATGACAATAAACAAAAATGTATCAGTACTTGTACTTGTAAGTACTCGGCAAGTACCAGTACTCGCACTCGCAAAACTGGTATCTCTGCATCCCTTCATTTATATTTATAAAAACAAAATCATACATTATAACAGAGATGTACAAATCCCGGGAGCTCCGTGTGCTCCTTACAAATGACAGCCGCCTCCTAACTTTTACATTTTTCTCTAGTGTAGTCTTGGAGCTCAAAAGTATCGGTACATGTACTCGTACTTGTACCGAGTACTGTACTTGGTATCTTTGCAACCCTAGCATCAATAATCATACACTAGTAAGAGTGACAGGAATGATTATGAGGTAGAGGAAACAATGAGCCGTAATGAAGGGTAAAGTCTACAATAAGTAAAATACTATAAACAGCTGCAAAGCATCTTTATTGCACTTGGTTATCTGTATATCCTCCAAATGTTGTTACAAAGTTTCTTCAAACGAAACACACGAAATAGTAATTTCA